CTTATCGAACGAAATTAACGAGCCGAACACGAGCTTCTTAATGAGTCGAACACGAGCTGTTCACAAACAACGAGCCGTTTTGACAGCCCTAATTGCAAGTTCTCTCTACTGATGATTTTAATACAGATTTTGTCAAATTCATTATTAAATCCTGCTAACTTAAAATACCCACATTCTCTATAAATTATTTGAGAACCAAAACATGATCACCACACTAAACATTAATAGTAATCCAGTCTAATCAAATAGGCCTTTGCATTGAAAATAAAGGTTGCCTTGCTTTGTTATTAAGATGAGCGACATTTTTAATCCTGTTTGATGCCTTCTCAGATGTCTATTATGATTATTAGAAATATGTAAGATTCATTGGATTTTGGATATGATTGTATTCCATAATCATCTAAAGTGCAATTTTCAAATATTTCAGATACAAAGAAGGATCAACAAGACTAAATTTTCCATCTTCATTCAAAAATGTATTCACAGTCTAGGATTACTTCAAATAGTTTTTTTTTTTCTATTCAAAAGATGCAAGATTTAGAACACCTGGAAATCTTCTTTAATCTAGTTTAAAAAATTTATGGAAAGTACAAAAAAAAAACAAATATGATGAGAACAATAAAATAAATAAATAAAACTTGAAAAGATGGTCATAAATTTGCTCTAATATCATAGGAAAAGAAAAATGACTTCAAAACAAACATTATTCATTCTATCAATAAATATTTATGCACAACTACCTTAAAATAATTGACTATTAATGGATTATAAATATTTTAAAAATTCAAAAAAAAAATCATGAATAATGAGAGAAAGGAACAATTCAAAGCAATCATATTTTGTTTTTGTTTTTTTTTAATCCAGAAAGTTGAGCCTAAGAGGGATACACGCGATTAGAAAGAAAAATTTACGGTGAAAAACTAAACCCTCAATCATTACATCATGGATAAGCATGCATCCCATTTTCAAATTAAGAACTTAAAAGATGGTACTCCACTTTCCAGTTTAAGCACATGTATTCCCTTTTTTTTTTTTTATTTTAACTCCAGAAAGTTGAGCCCAAGAGCAATATGAGCGATTAGAAAAAAAAATTTACGGTGAAAAAACTAAACCCTCAATCATTATATCATGGATAAGTGCGCATCCCATTTTCATATTAAGAAGGTAGAATGATGGCACTCCACTTTCCAGTTTAAGCACATGTATTCCCTTTGCACATAAATACACGAATCATTTCATTCCTAATTTAGCAAATTTTTGCTTTGAACAAAAAGACTACCACAAAATTGTATCCATACAATGCGCTAAAGTCAAAAAGTAAACACAACTTTGATTTGATAAAAAAAAAATCATGTCTTAAAACTAATTTAGCAAGCAAATATTTTCTTAGTCTGAAATAAAAATGCAAGCTGACACTAGTTAGTGAAACTTATGATATAAAGAATGACATCCAACTTGTCTCATTCAAGGAGGAACTTTTTGCATCGAAGTGAACTTTTACTTGCCACAGCATCAAATCGGGAAGGAAGCTCATGAAAACTACGATTTTATTATTGAAAGACTTCTTGCATAAAAATTTATTTAGAAATTTCTTTTATTCACCAAGGTCTAAAATTTTCTAAGAAACCAACTGATAAAAAAAAAAACTAATTTTTCGGCCTTCAGCAATCACTGGTGAAAGCACCAAACGGAACGAGAGAAAACAAGCAAGTTGGCGAGTGTAAAGTTTATTTTCATGGGTGAATTATGTTAATAAAATGAAGGCAGGGACATAATATACAAACAGAAGCTTTCTTGGCATCACTGGAGGGACGTGGAATGAAGTGGAAGAAAGCATAGTATTTACAGACCACTAAAAATATTTACAGCTTTATTAAGTTTAAAAATATAAAAAAAAAGCCGAATTACAGTCACCAGAAGCCACCTAAGCGAGGAGAAGAATCTCACCATGCCACCAGCAGCTAGCGGTTTTGATCTGGTCTCAAGAAGTTGTAGCATTCCAACTGGTTCATTTCCCCACCTAATACAGGGTCGTACACACATCTGTAGAAGCTACGGAAAACAAGAAAATGGAACATAAGCATCATTTTCATTATAGCTAATTAGAAGAACAGAATATCCTAAAGAGCATAATGAAAGTATTATAGGCTAAATAGGTTGTTTCATTTCTACAAAATTACCATGCGTGATGATTTATGAAACCTAAAAGGGTATGATGAAAGTATTATAGGCTGAAAATTTTTTCAATAAAATCTCATGTATAAAGATCAATAATGTTATACTAACCTTCCATCCATTCCAAGAATAACAATAGTGTTTTTCTGATGGCCGAAAGCAACAATATACTGGCTACCTTCAGGTAATCTGAATTGCGCTACGGACCATTCTGAATGGAAATATTTGGGTAATACACCTACAAAAGTCATGGTTGTATAAGTAGCAGCTGGAACTCGACAATTCCAACAAGAGTATTAAGTCACAAGGGCACACCTTCAAATAGAAGAAGTAAAAATAAATGGGAAAAAGAAAGGCTTCCAAAAATCGAACAAACATCAAGGGAATTTTACTAGCATACCACCCACAATATTTTTAATAAAAAATCATCTTAATCTTTAAAATTAACGGTATACCAACCTAATCTATCAATTCCACAAGGATGTTATGTGGTTGTTGTACCCGAAAAAAAAAAAAAATCCATAAGGTCATTTTTCATAATTACCTTTAAATTTTGCAAAATTATGGGGATTTTACAATCATACCACCTTCAATTTTTTTACTAAAATATCATTTTAATCTTTCAGATTATTCTTATACCAACCTAATCTATCAATCCAGAAGGATTCTATGGAGTTGTCAAACAAAAAAAAAAGAAATTCCATTAACGTATTTTTCATTTTTACCCTTAAATTTAGCAAAATTATGGAAAACACCGTTACAGAAACCGAATATGGTTGGATCAAGTAGAATGCTCAAAAATCAAACTTAGCCCTTAAGCACAACTGAGCTATGACTTGCAAATCTCCAAAAATTCCACATACTCAATTATTACAACAACAACAAGTCTCTTTTATCCCACCCAGGGTCGGCGATATGAATCCTTTTCCTCCACATACTCAATTATTGACAAGGTTAAATCAACCTATTCCCCAACACCATCCCCCATCCTAGATCAAGGATTTAACTCATTTAATTTTAAAATATAGTGAGAATTAACAAAAATATTAGTATGAAAATAAAGATAAATATTGTAAACCATTAAAATTAGCCAACTCCAAATAATCACATATGATTAGTATAAACCTAAGAAACAATCAACTTAAAGTGATGCATAAATAAAATTCCCAAAATACTATTCATAATGGGATTAACAAGAAAAAATTAATAATTCCCTTGCCATCTAGGAAACTAATATATTTGATGTGCATCGCGATTCTAGTACCAATGTGTATGCATTGTTAGTTCATTGATTTCAATGATTGGAAATCAAACAAAAAAAAAAGGAAAAAAACATTCATGATGTGCATGTTTGAATAAATATTGACATGTGAAGCCTTATATAGGTCATTTAACTCTCAAACCAGTTGAACAGCCTACAGTGACCAACATTCTTTAAATCTCCACATTTTCTTTGCCAAGTCATTCAAGTTCAGAATCCCATCACCTTAACAAATGCTCACTTCAATCTAGGCCTCAAATTTAAGTTCTTTCATTCCATAAAATCAATGCACTCTGCATACTCAACTTACATTGTTGTAATCCTGTATTAGAGGTTTAACTGCAAGCTCCATTCCCCCTCACCTCTCATCCTTACCTTATTGCAAAACCTATATCAAATTGAGGCATACAAGTTTAATCAGGTTCAAGCTGGATCTTTAAGAACTAGACATTAGAGTATGCCCTCCACCCAAAACATTTCTCCGTCTACTCCATTGATACCCCTCCTTCCTCATAATGGTACTGTTCTTCTAATGGTACCACTCAAGATTGTCAAGAACCGGAACCAAATCCTCTTGATAAACATAATGGTATGGATTCCTCAACTCGTGGCTCTTACACCAATGGTTGATAACTTTAATCAACCAATTGCACGTATGAAAGGTATCTGTGGGTGCATTGGTCATCCAATTAAAATATATGTAGCCTATGGAAACTTGTTACAATCTTATAGATCTTTTGTGATAAATCTTGATGGTGTGCAGGTTCCCAACTTTATCCAAGGGGCTTTAAAGGTTCCAGTATGGAAACAGATAGATGAGGAAAAAATTTGGCCTCTAGAAAAGAATAAAACATAGATACTTACAAAGTTACTTCATGGAAAAAATATATACTGTAGTTTGCAAATGGATAATCAAGGTCAAATATAAAGAAGATGGAAGTTTAGAGAGATTTAAAGCCAGACTGATTGTCAACGGCATCAAACAGCCATACAACATTGACTATCGGAAAAAATTTGCACTTGTTGCCAAACTTAACGGTTTGAGTATTCTCTGTTGCAGTAAATCAAGATTGGCCTTTATACCAACTTGATGTCAAAAAAGCCTTCTTAAATGACAACCTTCATGATGAAGTCTACATGACTATATCTTTGGGCTTTAAAAATAAGTCGAACAACATGTTAGTTTGCAAGTTGAAGTTCTTATACGACTTGAAGTAATCCCCTCGTGCTTGGTATGACATGTTTACTAAAACAGTGATTTCAAACGAATATCATTCATGTCAAGCTAATCATACAAAGTTGGTTAAATCCAATTCTAGAGGCAAAATTATCATACTAATAAGGATGCTTGCAACAATTTTGAGATCAAGGACCTTGGGAATCTCTGATATTTTCTAGGAATGAAGGTGGCTCGATCTACAAAGGGAATTGTCATATCCCAAAAGAAGTACATCTTAAACCTGTTAAGTGAAACTTTCATGCTTGGGTGTAAACCTGCCGACACACCTATGGATTCAAATAAAAGGTTGAGTAGAAGTGAAGGAAGTAGTCTAGTTGAGAAAGAAATCAATGATTTGTGGGCAAACTACTTTACCTATCACACAGAAGACCTCACATTACAAACTCAGTCAATGAAGTAGGTCAGCACATCAATAACCCAAATGAGGATCATTGGAAGCGGTGAATAAAATTCTGAGATACTTGAAGATGACTACTAGATAGGATTTGTTCTTCAAATAATTTAAAAACGGTGAGATTGAGATATACACAAATGTTAGCTGGGTAGTAGAGCTAACTAATAGGAATTCAACCAATGGATAATATTCACATGGAGAAGCAAAAAAGGAAGCTATTATCTCTAGGAGTAGTGCAAAATCTTAATATCGTGTTCTTGCATTAGGAATAAGTGAGAAAATGTAGATTCAAAGGCCGTTAAGGGAACTTAAGGTTGAGATGAAAGATGTAATTAAGATTTTCAGTGATAGCCAAGCAGCTATTAGTATAGCAGCAAATCATATGCATCATGATAGAACAAAACACATTAAAATTGACTGACACTTCATCTCATAAAAGGATAATAATTGAATTGTTCGGCTCATTTATGTTCCCACAAGACTTCATGTTGTTGATATTCTTGTCAAAGCACTGCCAATAATCAAACAAGATGAATTGAAGTCCAAGTTTGGTTTGTACAATACATACAACCCAGCTTGAAAGGGAGTATTGGAAAGTGTCTGCACTAGAAAGGAACCTCAAACTATGTTTCACTAATTGTATTTCCTTTATTAGATATTTCAATTTTTTGTTTTCCTTATTTTTGGAGGGATTTCTATTTTGGTCCCTTTCATTATTATATATATATAGGAAGGTGTAAAGCATTGGAAGGTGATAAAAAAATTCTTTTCAGAATGACTACACAAACCCAGGTCCCTAAGAACCTCAAGTTTACGCAAATTATCCCAGGCCACATAGTGTAAGCCCTTTGAAATGGACCCTTGTCCCATAAAAAGTGCCTGCAGTTTTTCACCAACTCCTTAAAAACACTAAGAGGAATGTCCATATGTGTGATAATATATGCTAGCAAAAATAGGAGAGAAGTATAAATGAAAGTAGCCCTCTTCGTAAGAGGTAAGTGTCACTTGCCCCAAGCATTGAGTTTACTCCTGGCCTTAGTAAGTTAGCAAAGTCTTCTTTATTTAGTTTACTACGGGCTATAGGAATCTTAAGGTAATGAAGCTCCTCCACTTTCTGAAATTAAGGAGATCTAATAATTCTTCTCTTCCTCCAATTAATTGTAGTTTTACTAAACATAACGACAATTTTTGTAAAATTGATTCTTCAACCTATCCAACCATAGTAGTCTTAGAGAATATTAAGCAAGACTTTGGCAGCTTGCATGGATGCCTCCAAGAAGACTAAAATATTATTAGCATAAAGTAAGTGTGACTATCAAAGGCCATCTTTAGTAATTTTAATGCCAGTGTGGTGAGCTTTGTGAGAAAGTTCAAGTGAAAAAAGCTCCAAGCAAAAGATGATTAAAAATGTGAAAGGGGACACCATCAGCAAAATCCACACTCCGGCATAATCCAAGGGAACATTTACCTATTAATGATAAGAGAAAATTTGGGTCTTTCAATATAACCTCCAACCCAATTTCTAAATGTAGTGGGAAAGCCCATATCCTGCATAACCAACTAAAATGTTTCACAACTTATCTTATCATGTTGTTGTTCCATGTCAATCTTCAAAGTCATGAGCCAGAAACTAGCAGTAGAGTGCTTAAATTTATTAATCACCTCCAAAGCCACCAAAAAAATGGCTAGATATAGACCGCTAGGGAACAAATGCAACTTGCTCTCCCGAAATAAAAGAAGGTAGGATACCTTTTATTCTATTAATCAAAACTAGTGCCACGGCTTTGTAGAATGTTTACCAAAGGCTTATCGGCCTAAGCTTGGAAGAAGTGTAGGCATTCACATTCTTTGGCAGGAGGGCAAAGAGAGTTTTTTTTTCCAATTGTCGGTCATGCAACTAGTGTCAAAGAACTCCATAACGGCTTGAACCATATCTTTACCCACAATCTGCCAAAAGAGTTTAAAAAAGGTATAATAATATCATCCAAACCTAGCGAACAATTTGAACCCACAATTTCGACAGCCTCCCAAATATCCATCATATTAATCTGGGCTTTCGAGATGCTTTAGGTCATATTCCATGATGCATTGTCTTTCCTTAAAGGTTCTCACTTGGCAAGACTAACTTGTGCTTGTTTCCATGTATTCTTGACAAAATGTACGAAGATGTCCATGATTTCCTTCAGGTCCTCTATGAAATCTCTATCATTAAGTTTGATGAAGTCGATTTGATTAGGCCGGGAGAAAGTAACAAAGTGAAAGAAGGGAGAGTTGGCATCGCCTTCACTCAACCACCTGACTTCAGCTCTCTATCTTCATCAAGCTATAATGCGGGCAAGAATT